ACTGGCTTCTTCGCTTCTTTCATTACTCATCACGGTGCTTGACCGAGTTGACACAAGTGGTGTTATTGGCGCTGCAGGGTCGCCAGGACTGTTTATCGACAGGCTGTACAAATATTGTACCGGTGACAGCGGCAAATAGTTTATTGATTATTAGGAAAGTTGCCCAGCAACTAATCGACTGATTGCTGAACGCTAATTGACCCTCCTGTGCTTTGCAACCTTTAGCTTCTATAGAATAGTCCAGTATCAGTACGGCAGGAGCGACGAGACCCTCTTGTGGATTCGCCCTTATGAAATTGGATCTTTTCTTTTTTAGGGATTTCACGTTATCGCTGATCTCCCAAGATACGGCAAGTGTGCGGGTTTCGTTTGAAGTGTTGATAATCTCCAAGTACGAATTCTAAAGATTTTTAACGCTCGTATGAGTGTAATCGGTGCGGATCGCGTTGGGCCGTACTTCAGCTTTTATTATACCTTATATCATACCCTGTATAATGTACGTAGGTACGTGAGGAATAGATTTCGATGGCCTTAACACTAAACCTACCGACATATTATGTATACCTATTTCTACCGATGGCTGTCAAATGACCGTTTTTGAAATAAACATTATAGTCTTTTCCAATTGATTGTAATTAATACAGAATTTAGCATAGTCGTGCAGTAAGTTCAAAAAAAAAAAACCTGGATTTTAACAATTTTGGTTAAAGTCTCAAAAGCGGTCATTTGACCGCTCTGTTAGGTTTAGTGTTAAAGGCTTCGTAATACGATTGATGAAAATGAGTTTGTATGATCGTTATTAGTTTTGTACTCTCCTGCCCCACCCACCACAGCCACCTCGTCTCTCTTTAATATTTTTTCTTATCATCTCGTATCTTTGGGGGATTAAAATTTTAATTCGCGAATGACAAACGATCGTAGGTACTTGACGAGATTGCGCGGCAAGCGAGCTTTGAAACCTCCCTTTTATTCGCGTCTATCGTTAAACCTTCGACTCCTAGATCATCCCTTATGACGTTGGTAGAATGATTCAGCCTCTTGTATAGATATCAAGATATCCAATTCTTGCGCTTCATCGATATATACATATATTTATGCTTATCGGTAATTCTCGCATCTTCTATTTCACGAGAGCAATTAATATAATATCTTGAAAATAATATTTCTTATCCCCGCGCTTGTCACAGTCGCAGCGTCAATTTTATCTTTGATATTTCTAATACGGGGATTACTGTCCTGATGTCTGCTACGTTATCAGAAAAGTACCTCGATACCTCTAAAACAACGTGGCAAAGAGAGAGAGAGAGAGAGAGAGAGAGAGAGAGAGAGAGAGAGAGAGACGCAAGGTAAAAAAAATAAGAAACGGTACACACAAACGGTAATAACTCCTGGTAATTAAGGTTTATTAGACTCGTGCGGGTCCCTCGTGTCACTTCACTAAGAGGAAGAGAGAGAAAAGGGGTCTTCCTTTTAGGCGCTACTATGCTCCGCTGTGCGAGGAAGCTACAAGGATCCGGGAGACGGGGCAAGTTTGGTAAGGGGATCCACTTGGGACAGGAAGGCATATAGAGAAGGAAGGAAAACGAGCGAGAAGACGGTAACAGCTGCATTGTCAGCGGGACCCTTCCTGGAATGGGCCAACAAAGGCCCCTAGTTAGGTACCGGCAGGTTTAGGAAGACCCTTCGTTGTCAGAAGCATGGCTCTTTTTCACGCTCTGGCCCTATAGAGTGGGTACCTATAGTACAAGTAGGTATAAAGTCGCGTCCCTTGTGCGAGAAGGACTATGTTGCGCCTGAGTAGGACTTGGGACCGATAATATGCTCATTAAGGGCGTGGTGCACGTCCTTCCATTAATATATACGTATACACGTCTAGCATAAATGTGTGTACGTACCGTACCGAACGACACGTTCTAGCCATGTCCGACTCCGAGCCTAACCTTAACCTTGCCTGTGCACCCATCTACATAATAAAGCAGCGGATAAAGACACGGAGAAGTAAATAATCCCCTTGTAATATTTTCAAACTAATTATCAATAATGCGGAAGGAACGACTAAGGAAGCGCCTACCCTGTCAAGGCGCGCGTTCGATAAACTTTTCAAAACACACCAATTTTTATGCGCTTTCAAGCAATTCGACGCGCCGATGGAGTAGCTCGATCGATTGGCCACTTTGCTTTTCGAGGTCAACCGATAATAGCTTAGATTGCTTAAACTGTTAACTGGGCTAAATGCCGCTGCAATCCAGGTATATTGCATATACGTAGGTGCATATGCGACGTTTCTTTTTTTTTTTCGTATCGTCTGCCGAACCTCCGAGCTTTCGTGAAACGTAGAACCACCCTGTTTCTCCATATAATACGGCAATATCTATATGTACTTTCATTGTAGTACGTAGCGATAGAACGTACTGTATATACGTGACCTCCCCTTCCCCCCTTAAACTTCGATCGACCACATTCGTATCTGGCCATACAGTGCAAATATACGTATACACATTGGTTCGCGTATATTGTATGTACACATACCGTTCTCGCAATAATGAGGAGCTTGCACAGACCCGGGGATCCCAGCGTTCTTCAAACAAGGAGAGCAAGGACAAACAGCCCTACGGACAGCCGAACAAACATACTGCGCCATGAATCACACACGACTACTCCGTTTCGCCAGAGAAACATATATATGTACATCCGTGCACGTGTAATATCAAATGTATATACGTATGTCTAGCACCGTTGCAACGGCAACATGTGTGGAATATTATATATAGTTGGATATATGTGTGCGCGCGGGTGCGCAAGATATGTCCACGTGTGCTCGTACGTGTGCGAATACACGTGCTTGTTGGTAGGAGTATAGGTATAATGGTATATATATATCGCTCTCTCTCTCTCTCTCCTTCTCTTTTTTACGGTGTTCCATCCTACACGTACACACAGCCGCACAGGATACCCAACCAAACCCGACTGGGACCCGTCAACCGTCACCATTGCTCAACAAGCACCATAAGCGATATGGTGGCTAATATTTGCTGGGATAAGCATACAAATACAATACAGTTCTGTTTACCTGATCCCAGTGGTTCTCAATGAAACGCACAGAGTACGTATATAATAGACACGTATCACTGTAGTCACCTGCCATTGGGACTCCAAGAAAGGGACCAGCGAGACGTGGTGAAATTTTGCTGTTACGCATTTTTCCCGTAGCTTCGCAATGTCCAAAGTTTCTTTAGGTGTACCTAGAGAGTCTTCTAGACTCTTGGGACGTAGCCACTGAATTCCCGTTTTCACCGGTATGGACAAAGTTAAAATTCGACACGCGTACCGAGGGAGGATAAGAACGAGACTGTGTGGGACTTCTCGTCTGACGCTCTTTCAACAGTCATTGTCAGAGGCTCGTAAGTGGCCAACTGTACTCGGATTACCCAGCCGTCAGACAATGAGATGTCTACAGCGTGACAGGGGTTCTCATACGGGCGATCCTCAATGAATAATTAGGCGCGTCCAAGGAGTTTGCCTCTCTATCGATGGTGGTACCGACTGTAGCGCTGGCGGCGCTGGACAGCCTGATACAAGTTATCCGAAGGCAAGGGCACGGTTAGGTCAGCGCGGAATAGCGGTTTCGAACTATCTCAATTTGCCTAAGCCGCAACCGCAACCACCAAACCGCAAGACCCCGCAGCCGCGGCTGTCTTTGCTTCCACCTCCGTCTCTACTTTCGTCTTCGCCTACTTCCTTCGCTTCGGCCTCTTTCTTACTCCTATCTTGTTCTTGTCTCTTCTCCGTTTTTTTTTCACTCGCGCCGTTCCGCTTCCACGTTCTCACCGAATTCAACATCCCGAACGCGGCTGGAGCCTCCGACCGCCCGAAACCACAGCCGAGAGACAATTGGCACGAGGGTCGAGTTCCTTTTTCGTATTCGGCTGTGTATTACGGACGAATAGAGATAGCACTTTGGTAAATTGTGCAATTTACGCGAAACTTTGTAATCTTATCAAAGTGTCTATGAAAATACAAGGACGTGTGATTACACGTTCTTATGTGACCGTAAGACGATGCTCGTTCGTTGGTTCTATGTTCCGAGTTAAAAGTCTTTCAAAATTTGTTTCACTTGTCTACCACGATACTGTGGACGGAAATTTAGGAATAAACTTACGCATAAAGATATAGACTCGTTTCACCCCGTTACTAATCTCCATTTATGTTTCGATTTATAGGGGAAAAAAAAGAAAACCATTAGAATCTTAAACCACACGCAAAACTATCTTCATCAAGTTTCATTCCCATAAGACGAAGTAAACTCCCTCAGCAAGCCCTCTCTCCATCAAGTTACACTTCTCGTCGACACGACACACCAGGTATCCCCACTGTATATCTATACCTCACGAACTCGTAGTTTTCGTTGTAACGTGTAATCCTCGCGGACACCGCAAACATGTAATTAACACTTGCCCTCTCTCGGAGGCCGTTCCAGTCAGTACGGAGCCTGTCCGTGCTGTGTCCTGGTATGGCGGCGCTGTAGCATGACGCCACGATACCGTGCGGATAGTATTGGATGGTGTGGTTCTCTGTGCGCTCTATCCAATTTCTCTCTCCATCTCCCTGTCTCTGTGCGCGTCTAGCGACTCCTCGAGTTCTTTCATTCGCTCACTCAGGTTCAGAGTACTCTCTTTGTCTTTCGCATTTAAAATTCCTATCTCCCTTCGAGTACCACCCTCTCTATCGTTCCAACGAATCTCCCAGCTTATCCGCATCCTATTCTATCGTTCCTCCTGTCGTCGTAACTCGCGCCTCTATATCGGTCCGTACTCTGACTGTCCTCCTTCAGAATTATACCGCGTAGTAATTGTTGGAACTTTATCCGACTATCTATAGTACGGCTCGCGGTCGTAGGTACTGGCACAGGCCAATGATCTCCCTCCACCATTTACCTGGTATACAGAAATTGTCAAACAAAAGGGTTCCAAATGTTTTGACGACTCGTGTTTTTTTTTCAGGGTCCTCCCCAGCCTGGCCAACCATTTAAATTTTCCGTGGGAGAATCGTGCGACAGGATCAAGGAAGAGTTCAATTTCCTTCAGGCACAGTATCACAAGTGAGTATCAACGTATAGGTGTACTAGCTACCTACTTATACGTGTGTATTTTATTATTGAATTACGGCGCAATACACGACAGGTATTTTCTTCCTTTTCATTGAGAAAGAGTAACCGAGTCCATTAATCATCAACGCAAAGTTTCCGTCGATTACTATATAGAATGTACATTTTATATAGTTTAAGTAAAGGCTCCGTCGCATCGTACGACATGCACCTGTTGGCCGATTGGCACTGGTAAGATCGATATCAACGCGTTCTGGCTCCGTCCACTCGCTGCCTATGGGAATAAAGCCAGCTGACATAATGGCACAAGCGAATCACGAAGTCAGCCATAAATGATTTACGATCGACTGGCACGTCGGGCGTCGCGACGCCTCTGGTCACTCGGTTTACAGTGCAAAGCAACGCCGCTCGCTGCTCCTTTTTTTTGCTTCTTTGCTTCTTTGCTTCGAAGCACCGATCCTCTGTCGACTTTGTCGAACAGTCGCGTCTTTATATACTCTTGCGTCACGTAATTCCTTTTTTATCTTTTAATCATTTTTACCCGCCATCTTCCCTTCCCTCTCGCTCTCTTAATCCGTATTCTCACTTTTACCTCGTCTCAAGCCGTCATTAAGTCTTTGTTAATTTAATCCTATTGGTTTCTCTTTACAGCCTGAAGCTCGAGTGCGAGAAACTGGCCACTGAGAAGATCGAGATACAACGCCACTACGTCATGGTAAGAAAGATGCTTGCTTATGGATATATATATAGATACGTGGCACTATATATATATATATATGGAAAGTTGCGCCTCGTATCGCGTAAGCCGGGTATTATCGTGAGTAGCTTAATGACCGTGTCCATCCGTGTCTCAGTTCGCAGATGATAATAATTATTGCGTACCGCTCACTAATCCCGACTTCGTCTTCGATTTCTTTGACACTCGCATCAATTGCAATTGGTTTAGCGAGGCTCGATTTCTTGTGACGTAATTTGAAATTCCGTAGTCTTTTTTCTTTCATCTATTTTAGTTTAATTTTTTGCTGCCGTCTTTTTTTTCAATGCAGTTTCGGGAAGTTCTCCGTTTCACAGCGATCGTTGAATTATTTGAGAGAGGCGTCGCGACGCTGCTCTATTGACTCCTTCGCGATGTTGTGCAATTAACGTGCGAGCAAATCGGTTCGCGTCTCGACGAAATTAATGATCAATAAAATTAAGAAGTCGGTATCTTTACTCGTCTTTGTAAATAATATCGTTAAGGTCAAAGGTCGAGCAGTGTATCAGAAAAGAATTTATCGCGTGTCATCCTCCCGAGTATTTCTTTTTTCTAACAGGGAAAATTGCTCCACGATATGCGTCACTTTATCATTAAAAATACGGCAGATCACATTTTTTAGTTACAATGATTATACGACGTCGGAGGAATAATTAACGAGCGAATTAACTTAAAAAAAAAATGACAAATGTATTTATCTAACCCGTTAAACTTATGTTTCAGTATTACGAGATGTCCTACGGGCTCAATGTGGAAATGCACAAACAAGTTAGTAAAAAAAACTTTTATTAACGCTTATTTACGTTAAAAAAGAAAAATATTAATTAACGCCATTTCCTCCAACACTTAATCCCGTCATACTTGGTATGTTTTCACGCGTCGTCGTTCCTCGCAATCATTTACGAAACAATCATCATCGCCAGCAGAGGTGGAAAGTTTATTAAAGGCAATTATTAATTTTCTGAAAATATTTTATAATAACGGCACCACGCATCACGGAACACGTAATTTTCACGGGTATACATAGAACAGTTTATTCTCGGCGTGCTAAGTGGGCCTCACGTTGCCAGCTAGCCAACCAACCAACCAACCAGTCAGTCAACCAGCCAGCAAGCCAAATCCTCAGCCACGATAACACGGCAATTACTTTTACGAGCGAGGAAACTGCCTTTCGCGATTAATTCCGCAGCGACGTTTCTGTTGGCACAAGTAGCGAGATCGCCCCTTACGACCAGACGATGGCTCCTTAATGCAACCTCTCCATTCCCCTATTTTACCCAGGACGTCTCTCGCACTGTGTAATCCCAGCGGCGACACGCGAACTTGGATAGATCCGTTTTATTTAAATACACAGATCAGAGATATTTCAGTACCGTTCAATGGATCTCCATTGTCCTCCCTTGGCTACAGAAACATGTAGACATTGCCATGTCAAACAGTATTATCTCGACTGGGTATTAGCTAACACGTGTGCTCGGCAGTCAGTTATTCATTGAGCAGAGTGCTATTGCTCGCCGATTATTATTGTACGAGGATCTAATCTAGCGTCAATAACTATTAACATGTAAGACCACGGAACGAACAGACAAAGACCAACGTTAAACGGAATGTGCCCGTTTACCGATGACTCGATCGCTTTCGGCCTGAACCGATGGAACGCGATTTATGCTGATTTCACGCGTTTAGTGGTCATCGAATTGTACTTTGTGTCAGGATATACCAATCAGCTGACTACAAGCTCACGGGTTACATACGTGAGGCTTATTAAATTTTGAACAAAAAAATCAGTATACAATACTGTAAACGTCACTGTACACGTGACACGTGGAAGTGATATCTTTCGCATTACATTGAAACCGAAAATTAGTTTAATAAATTATTTCTCAGTCTGATTCGATTGTTTGTCACGGTTGATAAATTCCTTCGGCCTCTCTGCCCGTATCCCATCACGCTTGGAAGTCTCCTGGGGTAGTACACAGGTACGTAGTAGGCAGTTAAGGTAGCTGAATATGAAACGGCGTAGTGCCAGAGGCGTGCATGCATACAGTAAGGGGTGTGTTTCTAAAGAAAACATTGGGAAAGAGGTAGAGAGGACAAAAGGAGAAAATAAAGAGAAATTCTCGCTCCTTCTTTCAGGTCCGGGTCGTTAATGCGATTACAAGATTCGTTCTGTCGTTGCCGCGCGCGCGTCTCTTTTCTTTTTCGAGACTTTGACTTTACCTATCCGTTCGTTTACGCTCTGGGAATGCGTTATATTTATTTCTGACGTATAGCCGGGTTAGCGGCCGCCTGCGACGGCGTCTTCGTTGGTACGAACGGCTCGTGACGGAAATAGAAGCCGCGGGGGTACATACCCCGTAGTCGTTGACAGGAGGTCTCGGCTCGAAAATATGTATTAGCCCTCGAGGTGATCTTTGAAACTAGACGAAACTAAATGCCGGCGAGTTGGTGAGTGGACTTAGAGAAAATAACTGCGAAGACGTTACCGACGGAAAGAACGAAGAGGATACGGAGTTACGTTGTGTTCATGTATAATATATTCATATCTATATGTATACACGTAATATAACGAACAGTGTACATATGTAAAGAACGTGGTAAAATGTATTTATATAAGCACGCGCATAGCGAATGCCAAGTCGTTGCGCAGCGGGAAGCTTTTCAGTATATTTTTGTGATCGGAATGATATTTTGGTGAACGTGTTCTGCCGCGATGGCAATTCAATGAGCGAACGTTTGTTTGCTGATTTAACATCAAACATTAATGGCGGCCGACGACCGGAAGTGCTTACTCGTATGTATAATGAGATTTCTAAGAAAACTCGGAAATCCGCTCGACGCGCTTTATTTATCTTTTTTTTTTTTGTTAGGTTAGGCGAGGGTCGGATTACAATAGTGTTTTGGGATATAGTTTTTTTTTTTTTTTTTTTCAAAACTGCTCGAGGATGTTTGCGTTTCATCTAGGTGATGTTAACCCATGTGCCTTAGTGTAAGAGGGGTAACCTAAGCTAACGTGGCATAAAAAAAGTAGCTGTCTTCGGGAGAGTCTCTTTTGGTACTCGTTAAGAGGTTTTGTCCCTGCGGTGGCCTCACGCGTTGCCCGGCCTCCTGGTGAGTCTTCTGGATTGCGGTAGACGCCGGGAAAAATGAAGAAATAGTATATAAAGAAAAAACACAAGGAGTACGTCAGCTTGAAAAAAAAAAGAAGTAAAAAATAATCCCACATAGATCCCGTCACGTGGTTATAGCTGCAACAATTTATTTTCTCTTATTCTTTTTTCCATTTTCCGCGATACCTTTCCAGTTGAAATCTTTAGATAACTGAGACGTCTCAGACCAGTCTCTTTGGTCTGGATCAAGTAAATCTGATCTCAGTCGAGCATTTTTCAAGTCTGCGTTGATTTTCGTCCCTTTGAAGTCTCCTTGTGGTCCTGATCAAATCGCTGTGCGTCGACTGTCCCATACTTATTTAAGATTGAAAGACTTTAAAATAAAAAAAAGGATCATAGCAAGATTCAAACGAGACGAAAGTTAACTCAAAGATTTGGCAAAGATCGAGACCAAAGAGACTGCTTCGAGAGGCCTCTGATATTTTAATATTTTGGACTCGGACTCTGTCCGCTCATCACTCGGGATTTTGTCTTTTCGGCAAATCTCCTTTGTACATGTTTTTCTGCGTTATCTTTAAGAGCCAAACTTATAAATATTAACGAAAATTCTCTCTTCTGTTTTAGACGGAAATCTCGAAGAGACTGAATGCCATTATCGGCCAAATCCTCCCGTTTCTCTCGCAGGAGCATCAGCAGCAAGTGGCGACAGCCGTTGAGAGAGCGAAGCAGGTCACCATGACGGAGTTGAATTCCATTGTCGGGGTAGGTTTTCGATGAAATAATTAATTCATTATTACGAGCCCGAGAACCTTAATTAGCCTGATCAATTATCATTCTCGTTCGTATACACCCGCTCGCCCTGAGTAGTTCTTGTCTGTTTCATGGTGAAAAAACAAAACCAGATGGCGCATTCCATGAGTCTCTCTTATGCAGGCTCCAATGAATTTTTAAATCTCGACCACTTCGTCGAGCCGGTATATTTGCGGTTAACGTTAAAGAAATTTATAGCATGTGTATCTTATCGCCACTGCAAGGGGAATATACTCAATTATTATCATTGGCCAAGAGATACCACGTGGTGCGGATCGATGCCAAGCGAAATTATCAATTGGTCTTTAATGTACTCGAGGAATATATTCTGCATAAGTGTACATTGCTATTCACAATTGATGGCGACGCGCCACTCATTTCGTAGTGCGTATTGCCGATAAGCGCTCATGGAAATTGCCATTCGGTTGTCGCTCCATATAATTGAGTTCAGAGTCGCTCGCGGAGCATGATGTGAATAATTTTAGGAAAAACCGTCTGCGCGGACTGAGTTCTTGACGATACGATGAGACGGCAGATAAAGAGAAACTCAAGATATACATTGCGCGTCCTCGAAGACGTCATTCTCCGTGGTCGCAGTAATAAATGCACCAGTGAGAAACTTCGGACGGTCAAATACAATTTATTATACGTGATCAGTGTCCTGCACCGATAAACTCTAAAATGTCTGTATGTACTCAGAGTCTGACGTACTCTAGGCTTATTTTAAACAAAAAAAAATAGACCAAATAATTATAAAGAAAAAAAAAAAATTATACAGTGGACATTTTTCTTGTTATTCTCTCTCATTGTCCCTTCACTCGCTTCATCTCGTCCTCCCATCTAATTCTCCCAATTTGCTTAACAAGATGATGATACTCTACTGGGGCTGTTTCTTTTCTCTTCTCAATATTACACGTAAGCACCACAGCGATACCGATAAGTAAACTAGAATGTGTAAAAATTATGGTTTTCAGGATGAAACGTTCTCGATTTATGACTTAAAATAAATACAGTTGCTGCCGCGTTCTACTACCATATGGGTAATCAGTGCCAGTGCATATGCATATGTACAGGTGCTTTCATGTAGAATGTGTAACCACGTGCAGAGGTGTACGTGAATATATTAACATATGTATGTATACACCGCTATATACTGGTTGTTTGGGGTTGTTCGTGGATGGGGGGGGTAGGGGGAGGGTGAGAGGTGGTGACTGGATTCAGTATGATAAAAGTACTGGGGATTCCGTGGGAGGATGGATTTTACAAGGGAGGTCGTGAAAGGTGTAGAAAGTGCAGGAAACGGTTAAAGGCGGTAGGGGGTTTAAAGGGGTTAAACGAGAGAGAGAGAGAGAGAGAGAGAGAGAGAGAGAGAGAGAGAGAGAGGAGAAAGTAGAGTGGTTACAAAAATATTTATTTATAAAAATAAATGGAAAAAAAGTTTGCTTGAACAAATATTTAAAAATTTGTCACTTAATCAAATTCAGTGTAATAGTTGAACGTGGGAAGTAAAGTAGATACAGGATTTGTAATGATCATAAAGATATGTTTGAATTTCAAAAATGGTATCAACGGGCAGAGGGTGAGAGAACGAGAGAGAACGGCGGAAGCAAGAGACTGGCAAACAGACAGAAGCGCGCGAACCCCCATGAATATGTATCACTGCGTAAACAGGGCTTGAATCAATATTTCGTTTAATAACATTGCACGAACGTCAGTGGGTGCGCTAGTAGCGTTCACCCTCCGTGTCTCACCCTTTTGTGTCGCTTAACCATCCTCGTGATTACGTCCGGGCTCCTCGCCCTGGGGTCGCAGCGATGCACCTGGTCGCCAATGGTCTTGCGACGACCCCATCCGCAGATACAACCACTCCCCCTGTACTTTCACCTTGACATGGACGTTACTACCCCAAGTCTCTTCGGGAATACAGTGGCCCGTATGTTGGGGGCTTGTTTTCTACTAAGGGATGGAGGGTTAATTTCGTGAAGTCAATACCCGGAATAAGGTATCCAGGGGTTGCTGTTGCACTGTCCGGAGGGTAGGTACTTTGGAACAGGGCCCCCCCTGACGGGAAAATAACTATCGTGCGCTAGGGGTTGTTTCGCGTAGAGACCCCTAGCTGGGGGAGCAGGGACCAGCGACCATCCCCTAAATGCCTAAGTGAAATCCGCGATAAGCACTTTGCACGCGTAACGAGTTTATCGTATGCTTAGCTATAAACCCTCCTATTATCTCGGGATCCGTCCCTGGTAGCCACCCGGGCACCCTTATTCCCAAACACCCACGGAGATTATATCTTTGATCCCCTAACCGAATTGCTGCCTAGAGCACCCTTAACCGTATGGTGATGTGCTCGTGTTCCTCTGTGATGTTAATACCGCACGATGTACGAATCACACTCGTTTTATTTATCTTTTGGAATCTTAAGGTTGTCCGATGATTGAAATTTTTATTTTTCACTTTCAGCAACAAAGGCCGGACATTCCGCGGCTCCTTCAGCAGATGCACGCTCAGCAATTACCACCGGGTGCTGCGATGGGTCCTCATCCTGGTCTGCCGGGATTACCAGGACTTGGTCCTGCCGGCGGACTTCCTGTACCAACCTCAGCATCCGCCCTCCTAGGACTCGGCTTGACTCCCGGTGCGGCGTCTACTCCGGCAACCGCCGCCGCGGCTCATTCCTTATCAATGCTGGGAAAGCCTGAGCTTCATCGCAGTCAACCGGACGACCTTAAAAGTAATGGAGGTCAGTCTCACTATCTAATTTCCATTAAACGATAAAACTCCTATATACATCCGTTTTATAAAAATACTTAACCAATCCGATAATTAATCCTTTCTCAAGGCAATCGTCAATCGTGTAATTGCGCAACGGTATAATACGCGCGATTATCGATCACGGCTGAATGGTTGTTATTTTTAATCGTGTAGCAATCTACCGATTGGCAGGACGTGCGTGAAATTGTTGAACGGGATGGAAAAGCAGGAATTGTCGGGGATTGGGAAAAATTGAGAGAAATTCATACATAAACATTTATTTGTACGAGTAGAATATTTATTTTTCAAATTTTCAAACAATATCCCCTTTCGAAACGTGTTTGCGATACGCGTTGCTGCCTTTCTCGTTTGCTCGTTCGCGCTATTTCTCCTCTGCAAAGGCCTTTATGAAAATGCATATGAATATGCACCAACGCCATTTATACGCGTGTGCGCCTCGGCCGTTATTAACATTCCAGTAGGCTGCGGAGCGTGTCGATGCAATTTTTGTTTCAACTTTGTTTTTTTTTTTTTAATACGCAGCATAAAACAGCGCAAAGTCCGACGCCTAAATTTCAATCCGCGAACGCGTCTCACCTTCGATTACGCTCGATTGCCATACAATTACAACATTTCAATAGCTCCGTTTATTCCGGTCGTCATTTTCATTCCGTTAGAAAAACATTAGCGAATGGCTCGCGGTTCATTACCCTCGCAGCTAACGAAGTAGATTACAATCCACCAAGTTTTCTGTAGATTCATACAGTATTTTTGGTTTGTTACAGGATTGAGTTCTACCGAGGAGAGACACGTGAGTGTTTTTTTAAAAATAGTTTTCCATCTTTAAAATATTATATCTCTCTCGTGAAATAATTCAGACGTTTGATCTTGATAGAGTACGTTGCAAAGGTAGAATATAATTAACTAACAATAAGCGTGTATCCCATAAGTATCGGAAGATGACGTCACTGACTCTTTGCAATCTTCCACTCCACTCTTGGAAAGCCTCTTTTTTAAAAATTCCTAACGTCAGGGCACTTTCGGTAGTGGCAAAGGACATGTCCTTTCCATAGAGAAACAGTATTCTGAGGAGATAAGGAAGCGAATGAAGATCCAGATAAATAGATATATAGATATACCGAAGTAAATAGCCAGATAGCCAGATAGATGGACGTAGAGTGGCAATGGCATATGGCGTCCCCGTGTAGATGGGAATTGGAATGGGATTGGGGTTGGTGTTGGGGTTGGGACTGGAGTTAGAAATGGGGAAACGGAAGTGTGCGATTTACCGTGTCCCCCGCTATCGTTTCAACCATCCTTAAGGACCTCAGGGACTTCGCCACGTACGAGAAAATTGGCCCTCGTCTCTGGAGTCCTCTCGCCACTGGCCTATCCACTATCTCCATTGGCTTTCCGCCCATTCCAATTGACCTGAAAGAACGAAATCCTCTTATCATTAGATCAATGCCATTTCGAAAAAGTCAATATCTCACTGACGATGGCATCTCGTGCACGAGATCCCTTATTCTGGCCTTGGCCGCTGGATAGATTTCAACCTCGTGATCACCGCCTCCACATCCCATAGTTCCTCCTGAGAGACTCTGATCTAGCAGTTGGTCCAGTTGTTTGCGACCTGAAAGTTTGTCCAGTTTTTTTTTATTCGTTATAATTGACATTTTCTTGAAAGTCGAGTAACGTTGATTTTCAAGTTTCCTCGATACGTTGAAATAAAGTGACGCTTCTCCACGTCATGGTGACTGATTTGTAAATCCGTTAGCATGCATTAGCATTTTTTCTTTCTTTTTTTACTAAGGAAACACGCGCAGGTCCAAAAACCGGGATGATTTCATTACGATGCCAGTGATGGACTTTAAAGTGATTCGTATTATTTTGCACTGCGCTTGCACTCAAGGGTTGAGGGTTCAAGGGTTGCGTTCGTATGAAATTTTTGTCTTTTGAGAATACAAAGACCTCAAGGAATCAAAGGACGAATATATTCGTGGTAGAAAAAAAGAAGTATGTTTCTCTCTGTACGTCTTTCCTGCCTTCGATAGTTCCATCCCTCCATTACTCCGAAGGCAGAGTGGATTGTAAAGACGAAAAAAGGCAGTGGAAAAAGAGATATAAAAAAAAAGAAAGGTATAGAAGCATGCGAGGAAGGAGAAGATGAGTATTATAGGCTCGCCGAGTCTGTAATCATCGCGGGACCGCGGAACGCCCATCGACGCCCTCCCATTCTCCGGACATTCTATTTTCTTCTTTTCCCTCTATTTCTCCACAGTACCTGGCACTCATCCTCGTCCTCACCCTCGTTCTCAACTCCCTCCACTTTCCTACTCTCTGCTTTGCTCTACCTACTCTGTAATCATTATCACCCTCTACTCGACCGCCTCCATGACAGCTTCGGGCATTTCATATTTTTTTTCGCTATTCAGCCCACGTTCGTTGGATCCTGAATTCCATTATGTTCCATTATGGACCAGCCAGCCTCCAGCATCCTCTTGTCCTTTACTTACAGATGATTTAACCATTTATTCCTCGATCTTATTAGAGTATCGATAACAATTATTTGTAGTACGCGCGGGGTCTGTCCTTTGCCTAGATATTACATCACCTTTCTGTTAGGTTAGGCTAGGCTAGATTAAGAGAGCAATTTCACGGGACTGCGTGTAAGTTGCCGATAGCTGGAGTAAGTAAGTTTACATTAAACGGAAGGTCCCTTGATCTTTATTGTAACGGAGATCGGTGCTCTTGCATGTAATTTACAGAGATGCTCGATATCACCTGGCGATAAGTACAGCAGACCCAGGACGCCACAGGAACAGCATCATTCCCATCACTCTCAAAATCATCACGACCAACCACTACATATTAAGAAGATGAAGAAGGAGCAGGATAAAGATATAGGACACGTAAGTGAACATAGACATGAGAAATAGATATCGGTATTTAGGGTCGCCGGGGTGGACCCAGTTTGACCTTTGACCTTTATTTTGATGAAGCAAAGCGACGGTGAGAAAAGTGATCAGGATCTGGTGGTCGATGACGCCAGCGAGGGTCCCACGAGTCCTGCGGTGAATGGCACAACGTCACCACGTGAAAATGGCCTTGACAAGGTCGGAGTCTCCTCCGTGACTTCGAGTCAAACGAAGAAAGACGTTCCTCCGCACTCCCCGCGAAGCGGTACCAGCAGCAACGCCAGCACGCCATCCGCGAAGAAGATGGACGAGCGCGAGAAGCCAACGACGCCGATCTCGAAGCCTATGACGCCTACGTCGGCCTCCGGTGGCGCACTGAAGGCGTCTGGGTCGGGCAAACTCGTTCAGGGACCTCCACCGGGAGTCGGTGGTGCATATCCACCGCACTATCCTCCAGGACCGCCATCGCATCATCTGCCACCCAGTGGACAGCATCCTCACGTCGATATGATGGGATACAATGGATATGCCGCGCCCAGGGCACCTTCTCTTCAGCAGCTTTATGATCCTCATGCGGCTATGAGGGCACCTATCGGGGCTGTGGGAGTTCCGGGAGGCAAACCGTTAGTGAATTATAACTTTTAGCTGGTCCGGGTTAGACTGAATAGTTTTTATAGAGAGGTTTACTCGTATTTCAGGGCGTACAGTTTTCATGTCTCTAGCGAAGGTCAAATGCAGCCCGTACCATTCCCCCCGGATGCCCTGATGGGTCACGGAATACCCAGGCATGCCAGGCAGATCAACACCCTCACCCACGGAGAAGTTGTCTGTGCGGTGACCATCTCGAATCCGACCAAGTATGTCTACACCGGTGGCAAAGGCTGCGTCAAGGTCTGGGACATTGGTCAGGGCGGCAGCGGTAGTGCCAAGCCTGTGTCTCAGCTGGACTGCCTCCAAAGGGATAATTACATCAGATCAGTGAAGCTACTGCCTGACGGAAGGACGCTTATAGTTGGTGGCGAAGCGAGTCAACTGAGCATCTGGGACTTGGCGAGTCCGACGCCGCGAATCAAAGCGGAATTGACCTCCTCCGCGCCAGCGTGCTATGCCTTGGCCATTTCCCCGGACTCGAAGGTCTGCTTCAGCTGCTGCAGCGACGGAAACATCGCCGTGTGGGACCTGCAGAACCAGACGCTGGTGAGACAGTTCCAAGGACACACGGACGGCGCCTCCTGCATCGACATCTCTGCCGACGGCTCGAAACTCTGGACCGGCGGTCTGGACAACACGGTGCGTTCCTGGGACCTGCGGGAGGGTCGGCAGCTCCAGCAGCACGACTTCACCTCCCAGATATTCTCGCTGGGCTATTGTCCGACTGGCGAGTGGCTGGCAGTCGGTATGGAGAACTCGAACGTGGAGGTCCTCCACGCGACGAAGCCCGACAAGTACCAACTCCACCTCCACGAGTCCTGCGTCCTCTCGCTCCGCTTCGCAGCCTGCGGCAAGTGGTTCGTTTCCACGGGCAAGGACAACCTGCTGAACGCCTGGCGAACACCTTACGGAGCCTCGATATTCCAGGTGAGCACGCGAATACACAATAATCCCTAGAGACGTCAATGGATAGTCCGTAGATAATCTCCCACCAGACCAGGCTAATCTAATCTAACCCAACGTTCGATATTACAGTCCAAGGAATCCTCCTCCGTTCTAAGCTGTGACATATCCGCGGATGACAAGTACATCGTGACCGGATCTGGTGATAAGAAGGCGACAGTCTACGAGGTCATATACTAAGAGAGGTTATGTTACGTTCAGAATTCATTGCTCGAATTTCTTCTAGAAGATCTCAAAAGTTGCAACTGCTTTGTACATAGTGAATATTATAAATTTATCTTGCGGTTGCTATTGACGGGGCGACCGGTCACAGGGTTGCAAATTAGGGAGTTGCGATATTACAGACCCCCTTAAGTGGTACAATTGCCATGACACATGAAACTTTACTGATCCATTTAGCCAATAAAGAGAGACCGGTTAACTGCGGCTGAATCACCTTACACGCTAATCCACTTGGCATTCCGAAATTTTGCGTTGCCTCGTCCAATAATTTTATACGATTCAGCTCGCGTTACATATTAATAATAATAATAATAATAATAATATGTACATTCTGTATATAAACAATGTTATACATATTACTCTCATATTTTTCTACCCAAAAGCGAGAGAAAAAAAAACCAACTCGTATTGTAAATATCACTTTATCCGTGTTCGTTGGAAATAAACGACAAAGGAATGGAAAAATAAATATTGTATTTTTCTTTCTTGCCCCTTTAGTCACAATTATCCCACTCCCGTATCGTACGTTAAAAATCCTTTTGAAGAAATGCTGGAAACATCGAGTGTATAAAAAAAAATATTTTAAATAAAAACGGAAGAGACAATGGGAGCGAGAAGAATGAAAGCTAAAAAATGAAACTAAATTCATTAAAACTTAACTGGAGTTCGTTATTCCTTAGTCACCCGGTATATGATTAGCGATGCCATGCATGCGCTCCGCATGCCGCTGCGGCGCTCGGGTATTCAATGGAGGGTTCATCGATGTAATGTTATTATAATAGTGGCACGTTTTGCATATGTGACGGTCCCGGGTTTATTGCACGGCAGGCCGCATGCCCCTATTTGCATGATAATGATATGCGAACCGGGCCGTACTTCACGCCGTGTTTTGAATATTACGACCAGCTAGATATATTAGTTATTACCACTAATTCAGCGCTGCAGCCACCGGGCGGCGGTGCAGCCCTGCAAAGAAAGGGATGGCTGCCTTCATTTGCCCCTTGTATACTTACTCATACAGTATACGGTCACTCCTGTGATTCCATAGCCGTAGATATTAAATTCGTCTTGATTCTTTCTTCGAACCGCGCTACAGTTATACATAGAAAACTTGAGAATAAATATAATCTCAGCTGAATCATCATCAAGGATCCCAGCGCAAAGTGTCAACGGTTGAAAGATTTCATTGTCCAGTTACTCCAATTGGCATATCAGTACCAACATTCTTAGAATTTGTGACGATTACTATTATTCATAATTTTTTTTTTTTAATTTTCTTTCGAAAATGGGAATCCGTTTCAATTCACAAATTGGTTATTTATTGATAGATAGGAGCAGCTTCTATGTATATGGAGCACGCGACTGAGAGATCGAGAAGATAACAATTACTGGTACTTATCCTCAATTAATGAAAAAAGTCAAGAAGGGAAGAAGAAAATTATACTTGGCTATTATGTACTTTATATGCTACACGAAAATAAAAGGATCGGTCTCTGAGAACTTGATGAATTGTTTACTGACCGTTCAAAGGGCACTTGGGCTATTAGGGACAGGTTACAAGTAGTACTCAATATCGATAGATCATTAGTATAATAGAAGTTCAATAGGCGGGGTAACTAAGGAAGGACGTAGAAATGGTCAACGCGAGGCCGAACGCCTCTACAGAAGCGGAGTGCTAATTTTATCTCTGTCGTGTGCGTGTCTCTCTCTCTCTCTCTCTCTCTCTCTCTCTCTCTAGCCATGACTGCGGTCTCGCTATACAAACGCAGCAAATTAACAGGCACGCAAATGAGCGAGTTCACGCGCGACGTTCATGTCCGCGCTCACAATTGGACACTAATAAACGCGCCTCGCAATATCTGCAAACACGGATGATTGTACTCGATTGTGGCGCCCCTGTCGGCGGATAGAGGCGATATATGCACAGTGCTGAACTAGATACAGAGAAGGTTTACGTACAGCTAGTGCAACTGCCCGAGAGATAGAGAGAATGGATAATGGAGGATGCATATGGGGGAGATATGCTCTGTGGGTGAGAGAGAGAGAGATGAACGGGACAGAAAAGGGTACCAGAGAACGAGCAACGCCACTGTTTCGGATGCATTTAACACAACAACGAAAATTACGGTATCCACGGACTTCATCCCAAACCTACTTTACATATACATCCAATTCAGCCTAAGCTGTGTACACGTACGGACTTATGCAAGGGTAGTGAAAATTTAAAACTCTGCGCCTCTCCCTATTTTTTCGTATTTGTTTGATGAAGGCACCGGACATTTTGCTTCACCTCGTTTAATAAACGAAAGTTGATCGCGTTATTTGTGATCGGCTGCGCGAATTAATAAATATATGCCTCGGTTGCTCTACGAATTTTTTGATTGCACTGATGCGCGCGCATTCGCTTCCACCCTTCGTTTCGCCTCCTCGTTTACTGTCTGTTTATCCGTTTGCATCTGTGGAGCTTTTCTGACTCCCCCTAATCGGCTATACTATCTATCCTTCTTTATCGTCAACTTGTATACGTATATTGGAGTTTATCATATCGATACAAGGTGTACGTTAATAGAGTTAATAGAGCGGCGATCGTGGGTTATCACGCATCGTGGAACGGTTTAAAATCCATGTGATAATAAGGTATTTAATTATAATTAATATTTAATTTCCACAGTTGGCACCAATGCGAAAAGGACGATAGGGAGGAAAATTTGATCCCCCGAGTCCTTTTGTGTAATGTCTAAATCCAAGTATCGCAAACGATACAGAGAACGTAGTAGGGGAGTGGATAAATTTTCATGCGTCTTCGTAAATTACGTGCTGCTACAATAAAGACGTTAATCAATTAAATTATATGACTGGATTTCCGATGACAACCGTCTTAATTGATAAACGGTATCTGTCAGTAACGACAGGACTTATTGGCTCTCTAGGAAAATTGCATCAGAAAAATGAGCGAGGAGATTTAAAAAAAAAACAGCAATTAAAAATTAAATGTAACACACGATAAGACAATGTATTGAGCTTCGTAAGTTTAATAAACAGGTACAGGTATACTCGGTCACAGTTAACTACCGCATGTGCACGTCAAGTGTAAGTGCAGCCGGAGTAGCCTGACCGTCTTGGACGGGTTGCTGGTGCACGTGTTGCTATGGTTGACAGAGAAGTGTCAGAAGCACGTGCGCGTAGCGCGTTGCGCATTGCTGCCGGAAATGGAAGAAGAGACCAAAGAGACGGGAAGCCGTGTGCCGAGTATAGAGGTGGAAACAATCTCGCGATCGATTATCGCGTGAATATCGTCAGAACAGGTCGGGATGCTGATAAAGGAGGGAAAAAACCGAGAGTGAAAAAAACATAGAAAGTTGACTTTTCAAGCATCCCGAGTGATCACTCGACAGCGATTTCCTACTATCAAGAGCACGTGGAGTAAGCATGGAACCCTGTTAAACTTTCTGCCGACATCCATCTATGTAGATGCAAAAGAAGTATATTTTTCTGGTACCTAACCGAGTATCCATATGGAGACGTAGCGGTGCAGATAATATAGGGTGCTTTATGGATTTTAGTATTTTCACATGAGAGGATTCATAACGGAAAAATAACTTTATTTTAGCATTACCGATAAGCGTACAAAATACATTCACACAAAGACATGTAATATTTAAAGACAGTAAATATAGATCGCATGAAAATATAATCTTAAAGTTTATTAGTACTTCTGAGTACAGTGACGGCTAGCACTTAATTTGAAGTACTTTATACGGGCTGCGATATGCCTAATTCGAGCTTGATAAATAATAATGATAGCAACAACAAATTACAAAAATTAATCTCGAATCTAGTGCCAAACTCAAAATTGGTAATAAAGCAATACAAATGTTTCTTGCAGTTTTACGATGATGATAATAATTGAGTGCGCATGCACCTGATATTCAAGTACTTATTGGCTCTGGCGATGGTCTACCTACAGTACATACATATATGTACAGAGAAGCACAGTATGAGGATAGCGTAGAAAAGCAGTGGGTCCGGCGGTTATCCAGATAGCAGATAGCCAGGACGGTGGTCTCGTTTGTGGTTTGACCACCCTTGGTGGTGGTGCCCTAACCACCCTGAACCACCATACCGCACCATCCGCAGCCACACCGTGTGTGCAATGGCCGATAATGTCGCCTTCTCTCTGGTCACTGAACGGCTATACGTTGGTTCCCGCATTATTATAGGCCACTCAGAAAGTGAAAATTATTGCAACAGGAAATACTTATCCCTTTCACGCAACCATTACATAAGTTGAAGAATAGAAGTAACTCAAACAGTACTGCGTACACTTCGTTCCTCCCTGTTACACGGGTTTGCTTATTACTTTTTAGGAAATTCTTTCACCGTCCAACGAACGGTTGAATAATTGAAAAGGTGTATTATGCGAAATTGATGCTTTGCTACATTGATAAGAGATAACGAGAAACGATATACAAGACGAATATACAAAGACGAAAATTGAGCACATACGTGAAAGTTTGTCCTGTAGAAGGTACAGTCCGTTTGGCAAAATACGACCTGTGTTGGGAGACAGGAAGTTGTAGACTCGGAATCGGCTAACGACTCAAAAAGTTATATACAGTATATATGTATATATATATATATATATTATACGTGTTTATATGTCGTGGGTACGAAAACAGGTATTTTTAATAGGCGCGCATTAACGCTAATTGACGGATCGTTTTTTAACATTCAACGCGCACCTTTTTCTCGTTGCCGCGTTTCGAGTCGGCAATGTACTTACAGTAGTTTTAAGATTCTCTCCTCCCTATGTAAATACGTACTATATATATACATACATATATATATATATACTCTTATGCGCGCCTTCTGGTCCATCGCGCACAGCCTCTAATCTAATGTGTAGGTGCACGCGTGTATACAAGTTCCGTACACACTTGTCACATCGAGGGCAGAAAAGGCAGTGAGCCTGACGTATATATATATATATATATATATATATATAGACCCGTATACACATATATACATATCCCATATTATATGCAGGGGCTCGGTCTCTCATCTCGATTGGATAAAGAAAGAAGGGGTCGCCATAGCTGCAGGAGTGTGCAAGATACTCACGGCTGACACATACGGTAGTCGCAGATCGGCGAAGCAGACAAGACCCGAGCAAGCAAAATGGAAGGCAGGCAAGCGTGGAATATAAAAGGAAGAAAATTCATATCTCGTCGGGGATCTTGCTGCTTTGCTGCTGAGAGACTGTTTTCAAGAGAGACCCGGGGCTCCTGAGGGCTCTGTGAGTTACCGAAGAGAGCGCAGCACCAGCAGCGGCAGCAGCAGCTGCGCGTCCCTGTTTGTAGCGCTCACGAAGAGCCAAGGAACTCGGAGATACTTGTCTGTCCTCATCCGAGACAGGCCGATGGTCTTTACCGCGTGCGAAAGCAGGAGAGAAGTAGCCGAGAGTCCGCG